CCAGCGGGATGTGGTTACGGCACTCAATAACTTAATGACAACGCTGTAACCACATCCCGCTGGATGTGGTTACGGCAATGTCCGTTTTGTCGTTGTGGTGTACATTGGAAAAAGTCGGGGATCACCAGCCACAAAGAATAAATTTTTTTGCTTATGCGACACAATGATCGCAAAAAGGGACTAATGGAGCCGTCCAGTTACGTAGATCTGGGAGATGTGAAAATAAAAACAGATTGAAGATGATGTCATTTAGGTAAAAAAACATAAATTAATGCAAAGACTATTTAGTAGGAGGAGTAAAAGTAAGCAATTCAGGAAAAGAGGAATAAAAACTCACACTCTAGTCATCTTTTAGCAAATGATAAAACAATGATCTATGAGTAAACAAGTCAATAAAAATCCGCTGGTTTATAATGGTATTCATAACTAAAATAATCGCATCAAACAAATGTCTAATAAATGTGGTACTATATATGTTTTAAGCTCTAGATGAAAAATTGAGAACTGATAATCACCTGTGTAACATAAAAATATATAAATGTCGTTAATGTAACAAATACATAATAAAAAGCTCAAAAAGCGCAAAAATACATGGGTTTAAGAGGTAAAAAAATGTTGGTGCCATAATAACCAATTAAAATTAAGTAGTGCATAAATGGTGATCCCCCTCCTCAGGAATGCCCTGCGATTAGTGATCGACCGAAATTCGGTTCGGTTCCGGTTCCGGTCATAAATTTGGCCGGAATCGAAATTCCTGTTTCGGTTCCGGCTAGATTTGAGATTTCGGTTTCGGCCGGAATTTCGGTTCTAAATGCTACCGAAAATAGATATTATAAAACTTTATTTTAAATAAATTATTTAGCATTGTAGCGTAAATATATTTTGATTAAAAAAATTTAAATAATTTTTTTGCTAGTTATTTCAACTTCTTATATTATTTTTTGCGTCCGATCGCGTTGTTACTTTTATCTGGTTTTTAATTATCATGTTTAAAATATCATGATCTACAAATTTAATGACGCTACAATGTTATCTACATTGTAGAGTCATATGTTTATGGACTTGATTATTTATTTATTTTAATTATCGCATGGAATTGGTAACGGTAAAATCTTTACGAACTTGGTGATTTTTTTTTTAATTATCACGTGGAATTTGTTTGAAATAAATTAAAAAAGTTTTTATTGGTTTCATTCATTTTTTTAAAGCAAGTTGTTTTAATGTTTTCTCGTCGTTAACCCTTTCTGGCCTGAATTATGCAAATGTAATTTTAAAAAAAATTTTTTCTTGAAAACACACCTATTATAAGTCAAAAATCAAACCCAGACAGAAAAAATTATATAAAACATTTCATACAGCAAAAGATAGCTATGTCGCGTATTGTACACAACAGGCCACAACGGCCGTATAAGACAAGGTACAATAACACAGTTATCAACAGTTATTCGTGAAACTGGCGAAAACAGTTACTCTTCTTTGAAAGGCAAAGATTTGCATTGCACTTAGTGCATACAAAAACAGTTTGTCCTTTGCACCCTGGACGCTTGCACCTCTGCCTCACACCATGTGCCGGCCAGTGACCAACAGAGTCTGTGCGAACATCCTGAGTTGGCACAGGCTTAGCAGGTCCCCTCTTCTTCTTGCGCTGCAGCTCTGCCTCCATACTGGTTGATGGTCTGCCACGCTTCTTTGCTGTCATGTCTTTGCCTTCACGACAAAGAGCATCAGCTATTTCAAGCTTGAAGGCCATAAGATCCTTCTGCTGACGCTTATCAACTCCCATATCACGACAATCCCGGCGATACAGTAACCAGCCAGTTGCCACTGCCAAGTCCACAAAATGGAAAAAAAAGCGGTGGTAATATTTCTTTGATTTCAAGTGGATCCGATACCTCGCCATGATGGCATCCAGGGTATCAACTCCTCCCATGAACTTGTTGTAGATCTGTATGATTTCTGGGCGTGGCACGTCAATATGCTGCTTTGTAGTACGATCCCACCGCCTCGCAGTTGACACTGGTTCTGCACTAGCAAATGTACTGGCTAGTGTTACAGACTTGTTGTCAAACCACTTGACAACTCGAACTTCGACACCATTGACCACACCCTCTCTTTCTTCAAATGAGCCACGCCCTTTCTTCTTCAGAGTTGCATCAGCAATCATCTTGCAATTCTGAAGACGATTCGCACGAACTGTCCCAACTGCTAATATGTTCCTATTAGCTAGGGCTGACAGCAACTTCAGTGACGTAAACCAATTGTCAAAAAACAACAGGTACTGCTTCTCTTGCGGCAAGACCTCGACCAGCTGAAGCACAATGTTGCCACTGGCACCAATGTTTGCTTGATTGGATGCTGCCTGAATCTTTCCAGTGTATATTATGAAATTATGCACAATTCCAGTCACATCACACAGCATAAACACTTTATAGCCCCATTTGTAGGGCTTGCTCGGAATGTACTGTTTCATTCCCGACTGTCCCTTGAATGGGATAATTTGTTCATCCACTGACAACTTATGGTCAACTTCCAGTGAATGGAACTTTGGCAAGAGAGAGTCAATCAACGGACGTATTTTGAACAATTTATCTCTCTGAACGTCATCTGGAGCAAGCATATTTCCATTGTCGTTGAAGTGAAGATTACTTTTCAGTTCAACCCACCTGTCACGTGACATCACATCTGCAACCTGTGACAAACGCGATGCTTTGCCCCAGTACATCTTACTTCTTGGCAGATTAAAAATAGACATGTACATAGTCATACCAAGAAACTGTTCAATTTCATCCTTGGAACAACCAATAGGCTTATTTACATCTTTTTGTGTTGCATACAGATTGGTGTGATCAGTAATGTGTTCCACCAACCCACTGTCAAAGAAGTAACGAAAGTACTCCACTGGCGACTTTATGGTATCAGCAGAAGCACGTTGATCAGCAGACTCTGGCATTGACTTTGCAGATGATTGGCCAGTAACACATTTCCAAACAGTAGATCTTCCAACAGCAGCAGAAGTGGAAGGCTGCTCATCATCGCTGCTGTCTTGCTGGTCAGATACTTCGTATTCTTCTGTATCGTCACCAGATGATACTTCAGCAACTTCATTGTCACTCGACGAGAGCTCATCATCATCACTTTCTGCAGGAATGTTACGAACAAAACGAGCTGTTGTAGCAGTCTTCTTGTAGAACTGAACAGGCTTCATCTAAAATCAGAATACAATTTATGCTATGATTAGTATTGGTATCTAGTATTATATATCACTATGTTTGCAATAAAAAATACAAAAAAAATATAAAATATGCACAGATACAAAAATAATATCAATATCACTACTAACAGAACAATCATTATAGCAAATACTATATCACAAATAATAATAGTAATAATATTACAAATCATAATATAGCCCAAACTTGCCCTAATTACTAACTCTAGCCTAACCCTAAGTCGCACCTCAGACACTCTATAAAAGTATAGCAGATATAATTGGTATCTATAAGAACACTAAACAAATATATAATAACTATACTAAAACATGGCTATGATACTATTGTAGCTGCTTGTATTACCAGCAATAATAATAATAATATTAGTAATAAATTATTATTATTATTACTACTATTAGTATTATAATTATTATTCCTAGTAGTAATAAAATTGAACACTATTATGAACATGGTAAAATATAAATATATTTCACCATAACAAATCATAAACAAATAATCTGTCATTCCAGCATGTTATATCACACAATACTAAGCTGAAGAGTGTCAATTTTGTATCTGTTATATTCAATGCTATGCCCGATTGTGTATAATTCCACACATACAAAAAACACCACATAAAAATTTATTCCTGCAATCCAGCTACAAATTCAAGGTACTACTATACAAAGACACCACTACTACATAAAATCCATAACATTTCATGGTTATAACTAACCTGTATAACTCGGAATAGTCAGGTCTTCCGTCTCGTAGTAACACCGTAGACCTTCTCACAAAATCCCTGTAAACAAAGCTCGAGCCAAGAATCCAAAGTAAGAACGTCATTGGTTCAACGATTTTATCGTCATCCTAGGTATGTGTACAATACGCGACAACCGGTCATAACGTTCTAAACGCCACTGCTATTAAAGCAGCGCGTGGATCTCGGTATGTGTAAAATTCTACACAACCGGCCAGAAAGGGTTAAAACATTATAACTTCGTTAAAACGTCGTTATAACTTTTTTAATGTTTTCTCGTTTAAATTGTTAATTGTCTTTTTAACGAACTTTTTAATGTATTGAACTTTTTAATGTAACGTAAGAAATTTTTCTTAAATATATATATATATATATATATATATATATATATATATATATATATATATATATATATATATATATATATATATATATATATATATATATATATATATATATATATATATATATATATATATATATATATATATATATATATATATATATATATATATATATATATATATATATATATATATATATATATATATATATATATATATATATATATATATATTTTGTTAAGTTAACAACAATATTAATACAAATTAATATAATTAATAATAATATAATTAACAAAGAACTTGTTAATTATATTTTAAATCCTTGTTCTTGACTCAAACTAGCAACATTAAAAAACTCATCTGATTAAGTTCTTCGATTTCATTCTAATAAAATGAGCTCAAACCGAAAAACAAGTTTAGTGTGGAAGTACTTCATAATTGAAGCAAACAATCCAAGAATGGTTCAGTGCAAAATCTGCAAACAGCAAAGTTTCAAGAGGATCTGACGACCCAAAAAAACAAGGATTAAGTGGACTCACGTCACACCTGAAGAATCATCATCCTGACATCAAACTTACGCCCGAAAAAGCAGAAAATCCAAAGGCAAATGAAGAAGCTGACTTAAATTCCAACAAGAGAAAGGCAGTTACAATCTTCAACATGCGATCAAAAAAACAAAGATCCGACATGTTACAATCTACAATTCCAAACTGGGTTCAAGCTTCTTCAAAAATTGACTCTAATTCTGAAAATAGCCAAAAATTTCACAAGTCAATTTTTGAAATGATGATTCTTGACCTCCAACCATGGTCTATTGTCAATGATGCTGGATTTTTGAGGCACCATGCTCTTATTGCTCCAAATTACGAAATTGCTAGCGAAAAATACTACAGAAGTTTACTGGATCCGACTTACGAAAAAATTAAAGTTGCTCTCAAGGAAAAGCTGGTTCAATCAGAAGCTGAAAATGTGTCTGACTGCCTTGATGCATGGTCATCATTTCATCATGGCTATCTGGGAATGACTGTTCACTTTATTTCCAAAGACTGGAACCGTGTCAAATTCTGCATCTCTTGTTCTCCATTTGATGAAAGTCATACTGCAAAAAATATTTTCAAAGAGATCAAAGCAGCAGCAGAGGAATGGGAAATTTCTTCAAAAATTGGAGTTTGCTTAAGAGACAACGCAGCAAATGTAAAAGCAGCCTTCAATGAGCCAAGCTGTAATTATAAGTCAGCTGGATGCCTTAACCACTCCCTTCAACTTGTGATAAAAAAGACCTATTATCAGATCCTACCATCAACGAACTGATTGAAAAGAGTCGAAAACTTTGTTCTTACACATCCCATTCTATTGGTTTCTACACTGAACTTTACAGACAGCAAGAAATCCAAATGGATAGAAAAGACAGACTTGGCTTAAAAAACGATGTTGCCACAAGATGGAACTCTACCTATTACATGCTTGAGCGAATTTTACACCTGAAACCAGCCATTGCTGCAACCTTACTCAAATTTCCTTCTGTGGGAATTGAATTTTCCGTCCAAGATTGGAGCCTCTATGAAAAAGTGGTGAGGATTTTAAGTGTTTTTGAGGAGGCAACAAAAATGTTGTCAGGTAGTGATTCTTGTATCAGTTCCTGCATTCCAATTGTGACAACAATAATTAAAGCTTTGGAAACAACCTCCGACGACGTCAGTGTTCAGAAATTGAAAATAGCTATGAAAAATGCAATGGAAAAACGTTTTTCAGCAATTGAAAAAACAGAACATTATTCAGTTGCTACTTTACTTAATCCAAAATACAAATGGTATTTTTTCCGATCTCAAGCTGCTTTGCAAAATGCCAAACACATTGTCATGTCCCAAATGGAGAATTTTGAACCTCTTGAAGATAAATTGGCTCCTGTTACTCAAATTCCATCTGGTGACAATGAAAAAAACACGGCATTCTCGCACATAATGTCAAAAATTATTGTACAGTCTCAAACAGGACCAAATGAGCATTCATCTTCCAAAATGACGAGGGAAGTGTTGAAGGATTTTTTGGATTGTCCAATGGCTTCTCATTGCCTAGAATTTTGGAAAAACTATGAAAAAAATGCGACTAGCAAAATCAAGTTAGCATTGACTAAGGTGGCAAAAAAGTACCTCACACCACCCCCAACATCCACAGATGTTTAAAGATTGTTTTCTACGGCTGGAGATATTCTATCTAACGAAAGAAACAGACTCCTTCCAGAAAATTTGGAAAAACTCCTTTTTTGTCGAGAAAATCTTGCAGTTGTTGGATTCTGCTATTAATCATTATTTATTAATTTAACTTTGTGTTTTAATTGGAATAAACTTGCAAACAAAAACTATTATTTATTTTCGGTTCCGGTTTCGGTTTCGGCTCTGGTTAGGGTTTACTTTCGGTTCCGGTTCCGGTTAGGAATATTTAAAATCTATTTTCGGTTCGGTTCCGGTTCCGGCAAAATTTCAGTGCCGGTCGATCACTACCTGCGATCACCAATGACGTTTCGGAGAGCCCGAGACCTGCACTAACGCCACTCGTCAAGGGCGTGTCCTTGCAACAGATCTCACCGCCTGCACCATTTAGTAGTAAAAGTAAAAGTAGTATAAAGTAAAAAGGAGTAAAAGTTAGCAACTCAGGAAATACTGTCTTTTTATTTTTTTTTTGTTAAATAAATTCACTTTTAAAGGCCGAGGGAGTAAATACAGTCGAGGAAGCTTCTATTTATTTTTAAAATAAATTTGAAATAAAATTAAAAAAGAAGCACAAGTTGACAAGTTATTGAACTTTATTACATTGCGAGTAACTATGAGTTTTAAATGTAATAGATATTCTAAATGCTTCATGAGAATTTGACTCTACGGGTATAATTTAAAGCAAAATTTGGAATGACCTCGTTGTAGCACAGATTTTTTGCAAGATATTATTCAATAGATATAACTAAGAAATTGGTAAGCCGGTCTTGACTTATTGTAGATTTTAATGTTGTCTAGACCAAGCTTACTGAAAAATCACTATTTCGGCACTATTATGGAAACAAGAATCGTGTTAAAAATACGTAACAAAATGCCTATTGATTCGAAGATAGACTCTAGACCTTTTAAAAAGATTCCATTTAATATCTTCATTGAAGTGAGATATTCTTTTGGACTGAAAAACTTGGCGTGCTTCAGAATATCCAGATGATGGACCTCTAAAATTAGTATGTCTTTATCTACATTATTGACATAGATTTGCGCCAAAGTTTTGCATTCCTCCTCTTGGCTAGGTGGTTCAATTTTCTTTACTCGATCTACTATTAGATTCCGAGAAACATAGGAAGGAGAAACTGTTTGCCATTTGTTCTGCAGCTCGAAATCTGTCTCTTATTTGTTGGATTAAAGTATCAAGAGCGGTGTTCTTCAGCCGTTTTTCATAACGCCTTAAGGTAAAAAAAATCAAAATCAACTTTTTTAGAAAATAAGCTTATTTAGGTGCCTGCAAAGGTTATTGAATAATTATTTTTAAAGAACTTTGAAAAAGTTCATACAAATTATAATTTTCAAAAAACGTTTTACAAAATTTTCTTGTATAATAATACAAGAAAATTTTGTGAAACGTATTTTGAAAATTATAATTTGTATGAACTTTTTCAAAGTTCTTTAATAATACGTAAAAAGCATACGAAATACGTAAAAAGCATCTAAAGGTGTTTTGAAAAACGGGTATAAGTTCACCTCAAACTACTTTTCATCGTTTTCTTAGAAATGAACTTCATTTCTTGTTTCTTTGTAAAAGGTTTTCCTCTTCCTTGTCCTTTTCTGAACTAACTTTGACTAAAACCCATAACTAGCTAGACCGGAGGTAACCAAATGTGCTTCATTAATTAATTTGGGTCAAGAATATATAAATTCATAAGATCCTCAATAGGAACCCTAATAAGCTTCATCTCTTCATCTAAAATAATGTTTCCTGATTGAAATGACCCGGTGACAATTGCTTGGCGCGCTTCAAACCAGATGGTTGTCATGTCAAATGAATAAATTCATTTTTCCAAAGATTTTACGTCATTCAATAGATCAGCAGTTAAATCAAGTTCCTAAAGTTTCTGCAAAGAAAAAAAAATTTCTCTATGTTGCTTAATTTCTCTGAAGGATGATCGCTTTTATTCCTTTGTACACACCAGACATCAGCCATGTTAGCACCATTGTTGTACTCTTGATCATAATGACATCAATCTGAAGAACTGTTCATTCTTCAGATTGATGTCATTATGATCCTAGAAATCCATAATTATCTTGGCAATAACCACAACTTTCTTTTGTTTAAGATTTTCGACCTTAAGAAAGCGCTCCTTAACTACCTGTCTTTTATCAATACCATTGTAGTAAATTACTATATGCGCATCATTAATGATGGCACCGTGGACGATTCTTCCGCACTTTTTTAAAAATTCAATTTTGTAACTCCAACCCAAAAAATGCACAATAATTTGTTTACCTTCATGTTGACACCAAAAAATCTCTTTCTAATGTAACTAAATGGTCTTGTTGGGCTTTGCGAGTAGCTCTAGAGTTGCAAGAAAATTGCCGTTATTGTCATCATTGGTCATTTTTGAAGAGTCTAAAACGACGATTTTAATACATACATGTAATAATACATGTTTACACATATAAACCATGATTTTCTGTTTAAGTATAATAAAATAAATTATGATAGAAATATAAATATTTATTATTCACTAATATACCTCTAAAGCGTGATGCTAAGAAGAGAGTTACATCTAAGATGCACTTTAAAATTTCACGCTGCCTGGCTGCCTAATTTCTTATCGATTTTTCTAAACTTGAATCTATCTTGCTGTTTTCCACTTAATGCAATAGTCTCGATGGATTGTTTTGGTGGCATTTTTTAACTCCATTGATGTCACTATTCCATATTTAATATATACGTATATATATATATATATATATATATATATATATATATATATATATATATATATATATATATATATATATATATATATATATATATATATATATATATATATATATATATATATATATATATATATATTTGATTATATATGTTCTTTTTTAATCTAGCAGCCCTTAAAAGTATTTTCCCGCAACGGTTTTGGCTAGTGTCAGACTCCCGAATAAGAAATCGGCTAATAGTGTATTGTTGAGTAAACAATTCATTTTAAATTACGAGTTTAAAGAGTTTTTTTATTAAAACCCTGTGTGTCTATTTTATAATTAAAAAAAAAAAGTTTTCATTTGTGCACCCCTTCTGATCCTGCGCCCAGGTAAAAAATACCCAGTGACCCTCCCCACGCGGCGGCCCTGTATATATAACTATATATATATATATATATATATATATATATATATATATATATATATATATATATATATATATATATATATATATATATATATATATATATATATATATATATATATATATATTTGAAAGATGACATCTTGTATGAGAGTATATTATATTATTTTAAAACATCAAGAAATACAGTTTCTCTCGATACTAATAATTTTATTTTGTAAGAAATTTTCGCTGGGTTATGGATACCAGCATTATCAGCTTGTAAAATATTACAATAATTTTTTAATCGTTATAGTTTATATAAAATTGTTACTATTGACGTAAGCGGTTGCATGGCTTCTTTTGATTTTTAAATTTTAAAAATGGCGTCTAAAACATAGTTTTTACATATTGGCCTTCATCAAGATTAATTCCGCCGTTTCGTGCAGAGCACATGTTGTTTTGTATTTCTAGTGCCTCTCTAATTTTTCTTTCAAACTTTTTATTTTCTACTTTTAATGTTCTTGTGTTTTCCCGAATAATATTTTCTTTGCAAAAGGTTTTATGATATGCTAATGCAGATTGATTAGGTTTGTTTTCATTAATGCTCTTCTGATGTTGATGCATTCGCGTATTTACCTGCATTTTTGTTTCACCTATGTAGACCTTGGAGCAGTTGCATTTTATTATATAGGCTCCAGGGTGGCTTTTACTTGGTAGTTTTGATTTGTTTTTTGATGTTAATAAAGATCTTAAATTTGGGTTTGATTTAAATACTGCTCTGTACACTGCTTTTCGGAATATTTTTCGAAGTTTTGGTGAAAGGCCTGGTACCCATGGTAAAGACACTACAGGAAGATTATTGTATTCTGATGGAATTGTGTTTTTATTTTGTCTTTTTTGATGAAATTGAAAATATTGAAAATATCATAAAACTTTAAACTTTTTTATAAGTTATAACAAAAATACTTATAAATGTTTACAAAACAAGAACATTAAAAGTATGAAGGCCAATATGTAAAAACTTCGTTTTAGACGCCATTTTTAAAATTTAAAAATCAAAAGAAGCCATGCAACCGCTGACGTCAATAGTAACAATTTTATATAAACTTTAACGATTAAAAAATTATTGTAATATTTTACAAGCTGATGATGCTGGTATCCATAACCCAGCGAAAATTTCTTACAAAATAAAATTATTAGTATTGAGAGAAACTGTATTTCTTGATGTTTTAAAATAATATATATATATATATATATATATATATATATATATATATATATATATATATATATATATATATATATATATATATATATATATATATATATATATATATATATATATATATATATATATATATATATATATACATATATATACAGTGGCGGATTATCAAATTATGGGCCTATAGGCTTAACTAATTCATGGGCCCTATATACCAATATTTTTCTAAAAAATACGTCAAAAAGTACAATTTTAATTTTATTTATAATAATAATATCTATAATAAAATCTAATTTTATTTCAAAATTACAAACAAATTATCAGGTATATTAGATACTAGTATATATTTTATAAATGGCTGACCCAAAGAAAAAAACAACACGATCAAAAATTCATTTTTCTGCATTTTCGTTCAACAAAGTCTGATAAAATTTCATTGAAGTCACAGCTTCTTAGGATGTCAGATTCAGTACACATAACAGTAAGGGAATTCAGTTTGTCATCACCCAAAGCACTTCGCAGATAGTTTTTTATCCGTTTCAATGCAGAGAATGATCTTTCATCACTGCAGTTGGTGATCATCAAACTGAGGTATATGTGAAGTGCTGTGGCAACATTTGGAAATATATCTTGTAGTGCACTGCTGTTTCTCAAAGCCCGATACATATACAGCTTTATGCTACATTTCAGTTCTTTCTCATTCTGTTGCAAGTACGTATCAGCTAATAAATATTCTTTGAAGTGAAGTATTTCATCTTCAAATGACTCTTCCAAATCATCTACATAAGTATCTATCAAGTTTCTACTGGCTCTTCGCAAATCAGACTGTTCCAGTGATCGAATGTTTCTCAGAAAACCAAACTTATCACATACACCACTGTATGCCTCTGATCGTTTACATAATGCTGAATTCAAGTGATCAAGTACTGGCAAGAAAACCATGACTCGAAATTTCTGCTGTGCCGAAAACACTGTTTCATCAGCTGATCCGAAGTGAATTTACATATTCTTTTTAGTGAAGTTAACAGTTGAACAGCCTCATTTAGATCAAGTTGTGGACTTTGCAGTTTTAAACTGGTCTTATGAAAGCGATCTAATATGGGTGTCCAGAGTTCTAATAAAATTCCATATTCTAACTGATCCATCTTCTTTGCAATTCCTGCAGCTGTAGTGCGAGCTTCAACCTTCTCCTCGGGGTCCTCAGCAATGTTCTCTAAAACTGTCTTAACATTTTTAAAGTCTTTGCTCAATGCTTTAGTTGCTGCAGAATGTACTGACCGTCGAGTATCAGAAAGGCGTTTTAGAACTAACTGGTTACTATCCAATCCTTTGGTTAGATCTCAATATCATTGAACTATAAAGAAGTATTAAACAGAATTATTCTAATTATTTTTTCATGAACGTCACAAGATTAAAAAATAGTTTAACTACCTGCTTGCATTTATCTTCGATTTTTGTCCAACGAACGCAATCTAAAAGCGTTCGTTTGTTTTTGCTTTCGTTTTTTTTCCGAATCATCGCTTTCAATCGTGGAGGTCTTTGATTATTTATGCTAAAACTTATGACGATATAAAGAATTTTAAATTTTAAAATTTTAAAAATTAAAAACTTTATAATACTTTGGTGTTATTAATTGCAGAGAAAAAGTCAGTACTTACAATTAAAATATCCACTAAAGATAAGTTTCTTGTCAAAATATAGTCGGAACAAAATGCAGGCGAGTCAAAAACATACATATGCACAAAAGTATCCACAGGTACGCAAGGTTTAAGCAAAAATAAATTAAACTATCAGAAGTCAGGCTTTTACAAACGTTAAATAAGAAAAAAAAAATTTCAACGCTTTTTATTCTATCATGCGAACAAAAGGCCAATGAAAACGCGTGCGTTTAAATGGATAATGAAAACCTTGTAAAGTAATAATTATCCTATTTTAAATGCAAACAAAGTTTAAAAGGAGAAAGAAATTAATACACAAAAATTGCTTAATCTTTAAATACGTTACCAGCTAAATTTTTTATCATTTCAATAGTTTTTTTTTTAAGGCATGTGATGCCCCATAGACTGCGATGCCCGGGGCAAACTACTTCAATTGCCCCCCCTCCTCTTGGCGGCCCTGTATATATATATATATATATATATATATATATATATATATATATATATATATATATATATATATATATATATATACAAATACATATACACACACATATATATATATATATATATATATATATATATATATATATATATATATATATATATATATATATATATATATATATATATATATATATATATATATATATATATATATATATATATATATATATTTTATTTAACCATATCAATAAAAATTTACAAATCTCATCGTAAGTTAATAGATTTTGGTTAGGTGTGTATGGTGAAATATCTTGGATATATAATATATAATAAATAAAAGTTTTTTTTCTCAGTTTAATTTTAAATTGATTTTTGTCAAGCTATTTCAGTTAAACCTCATTTTATTATTGCCAACTAGATTTACTAACCACTCTGCTACAATCATTGACAATATTTTTTCTAATTTAAAAACTAATGAAATTATTTCAGGAAGTTTGACAATTTCAGTTTCTGATCACTTACCTCAATTTTGTAAAAATAAAATTGCCAATTATTTATCTTAATTACTATCTTAATTTTTCATTTTCATCTCTATTTTCAAGTCTGTTTAGAACTAATGGACAATTAACATAAACATCATCGTTATATTTATTATTAATCAACAGCAATGGTCCAGATAGGTCTGCAACATATATTGATAAACCTGTTAGAGACTTTATTAATAAAGACCTAAAACTTCAATAAGTTAATAAAGCAAAGTGATAAAAAGGAGAATATTATAAAAAGAAAGCATGTTTAAAAAATCAGACGTTTCAGTGTCATTATTTGGTTGTATTAGATCAATATTATAATCACCTAGTAAGAAAACCGATTTACGTTCAGCATTTATTTTTTGAAGAAAGACAGACATGATAATTGTAAAATCGTTTATACCCATGCAGGATGTTTATAAATGCAACCACCAATAATATTAGATTTTTTAGAAAAAAATTATTTCAACAAATGTTGATTCTAAACAATGGTGTATAAATCATTAAATCATCTCTTCGTTTATATATTAATTTTTTTGATATGTAGGGGAGATGGGGGCGCATTGATCGCTGTTGCAGTATTTTGAAAACTGCAAAGAACCCGATCTAGATATAAAAACTTATTAATTACTAAACTAAACTAGAACAATCTGTCTTTAAGTAAAAATAAATGTTTTAATAAAAAACATTAATGAACATGGTATATTTCAACATTACAACAATCCTTGCAAAAGATCATTGTACCCCATGCAATGAGGTACTATGATCTCCGATATGGGGCGCTTTGATCTTATATGAGTAGCATAATTATTTACATGTTTAATACTGCTATACATAAGTGCTACAAATGCATTAGTTGAAGGGTATTAGTGTATATTATATAACACATCTAAAAAAAAGTAAAATTTAAAACATATATATATATATATATATATATATATATATATATATATATATATACACATATCATTAAAACCTAATACACACCAGTGTATAAAGTTTTCATTAGAAGAATGACCACAATTCTATCTATGAAAATAAGCCCGTTATATACTACTAACATATATATGTGTTAAGTTTTACAAAACTTGAAGCTTATAAAGTCTATAAGAATACAGTATTTTAAGTTTACAAAGATTCATACAAAACTTGTATGAGAACTAAAGTTTACAAGATTATTTTTTTATATAAAGTCAAGTCGTGATGCTGCTTTTACATTACATTGTTTTTTGTGCTTAAGCAAGTAGTTTTTAACTTTTCCCCTTTATCTTTTGCGATGAGTTTCTTTTGTTGGTTGATTTGTTTTAGGTTTTTCTTTTCTTCTGACAAACGAATTTCATTTCTGATTAGAGTATCAGTCAAAATCCTTGTTTTTAATTGCCAACTTTTATCACTTCTTTTTCTAGCAGATGCTTTCGGGTAAGGTTTCAAAACTTCAGGTGAGAGTAATGAAGGAATGCTTGGTGACACTTTGTTCAAAAAACTTGTTTTATGATGTACTACAGGCAATTCAGGCCACATGCCATCAACATGTGCTACAGTCATTTCAGGTTCCACAAGAATTGTGTTTACTACATTTGGAGCAGCACGATCTGTAATTGATGATGGTAAATATTCATCATCTTTATAAATTTCTGGATTAAATGGCTCAATGCCAGCTACTTGAAATCCTCTCTGTATATTAGATGGTGAGAAAGCTTTTGTATATGGTTCGCGAACTATTGAAATAATATCATAAATGGTCATAGGTCTTGGATTTTTGACCATCCAATTATCACACGCAGCATTGTAAAACCTTTTTAATGGTCCAAAAACAGTTCTATCCAATGATTGCAATTTATGGGTACAATGGGAAGGAAAACTTTTTTTTTTTTTTTTCTTTTTTTCTCTGTTTACATAACATAAGAATTTTACAGATTCTACTTCATAATATAAAGTTTAACAAAATAAGTAAAACAGATAGGGACTCAAAGAAGATGAGGATGACAGAACGTCATCGCAATCTTTTCATAGAACCCCTTTAACAAGATTTAATTAAAATATCGTAATATGACATACAAAATAAAAATGTCAATAAAACATCATAACAAAATTCGTAATCCGCTAATAAAAATTGTCAAGCAACAAACAAAAGTAAAAACAAAACAAAAACTTATTTAAGAGAATTTATCCAAAGCATTATTAACAAAAAATGTTTCACCGGTTTTAAAGATTTCTTTTTTTGTTAAAAACTTGAATGAACTTAACGAACTCACCGTACCTTTGAACCCTTTCTGAAAAATATTCCATACTTTTGGACCTTTACATAAAATGCTGTGTTCTGAATATTTATTTATTATCCTTGGCAGTTTATATGTGTTCAACATATTCGCTCTAAGATTATAGTTACCATTTTTATTTAACTCAAACTTATTATTAAAGCTTATAGGAGAAATATTGTGATTGTAACGATGCATGAAAATTAAATGCTGGTAGATATTCATTTCAAATACATTCATCATTTTCATATCTTTCATCAAGGGATTAGCGTGTACCCGCCTATTTTTAAAGTAAATGATTCTACAGGCATGTTTCTGAAAACTATAAAGTTTCTTAAGCTTTGCTGTTTGAGTACTTGCTCATGAAATGTTTGCATAGCTGATGAGGCTGTGAACTAGCCCAAAGTAGATTAATTTAAGACTATTTGTATTAACGTACGAGCGAACTCGATACATTAAACCTATGATTTTGGTAATTTTTGACTGGATATATATTATATGAGGAAGCCAGGATAATTTTTCATCAACAACGATTCCCAAGAATCTTATATTGGATTGCTTTTTAATTAATTTATCATTTATAAATAGGTTCGGCAACTTGAAAGGAAGATTTTCTTCTTGTGTTTTTTTATGAAAAAGTATATAGTTGGTTTTCTCGGTATTAAGTGAGAGCTTGTTAGCCTTAAACCAGTTATTTACTTTATTTAGTTCAATATTCATGTCCGCATATAATTTCTTGATATCGTTGTTGGTAAGAAATAAATTCGTGTCATCTGCAAACATGACTGAATTAAGTTTTAAGGATGCATAACAGAAGTCATTTATAAATATTAAAAAAAAAGTGGACCAAGAATCGATCCTTGCGGAACTCCACATACAACATTTAACACTCCAGATTGGGCATTATTTACATATTGTTTTCTGTTTGTAAGATAGCTTTTAATCCAATAATAAGTTTTATTAACTATTCCGTAATGTCTTAATTTATCTAAGAGAATACAGTGGTCCACTGTATCAAATGCTTTTGATAAATCAAGAAATACTCCTAAAGTAAATTTATTATTTTCAAAACCATTAGTTATTTGATTTACTATTTCAATGATTGCATGCTCAGTAGAGAGATTTTTTTGAAAACCAAACTGATTTGGGTAAAAGAAATTGTTTTTTATGAAGTAATCATAGATTCTATTATAAACTACACGTTCGAATAATTTTGAAAATACAGAAAGTAATGATAAAGGCCTGTAGTTTGTAATGTAGTCAGAATGATCATTATGTTTGTACAATGAAGTTACTTTTGCTAATTTAAGCACATCCGAAAATATCCCAGAATTTAACGAAAGCTTTAGTATACGTATTAGAGCTCTTTTAAGACTGTGTTTGTTTGCAATAACTATATTACTAGATATCTCATCAAATCCCGGAGCCTTTTTTTTTTTTAACGAGAAAAAAGCTGCCTCGAATTCCTCATAGGTTAATTCATAATCAAGCATGATAACATTATTCGTGGGTTTAAGGAAGGTTTTAAATGATACAGATGTTGGTACTATTTTTTTAACAAGATTTGGACCAATACTTGTAAAATATTTATTGAATTCTTCCAAAATTTGTTTTTGACTAAATATATCG